ACCCTATCGGAATAACGTATCCAATTCATTATCCCATTAGAGTTTCTGACTACGTTTCAGGGGGCTAAGTGTAATTATCGATACCACAGGGACCTTACAGTTATTTAAGCTTACCTCAGGGGGGTGTGTGTAATTTACCCTAGAAAATATATAGGGATAGGTCCACCGGTAAAAATCTTCCTTTGAGATACCCCCCTGGAGAGGCAAAAGTACTATTGTGCCCTTATGTGCAATTTTCGCCCAACTGTATTCAGCACTTTACTTACTGCATTTATCACTTTGGACCTGCATTTCAGTATATGTACTGCATATATCAACATTTTTAATTTAATATTTTTTTATTCATGTATATATATTGTACTATTTTTTATTATTATTTTATTTTTTTATAAAATATTATTTTTAATATTTCGATTTTTTAATTTGTTTATTTTTTTAATTTTTTTAATTTTTTTAATTTTTTTAATTTTTTAATTTTTTTAACTTTTTTAATTTTTTAATTTTTTTTTAATTTTTAATTTTTTTTTTAATTTTTTTTTAATTTTTTTAATTTTTAATTTTTTTATTAATTCGAATTTTGGTAAAATTACTGTACTGGAAGTTGACTACACATGACTGCAAGTTCAATAGTCATGTATAATTTATATATAGTCGTGTACTGTCTTTTTACTCCAAATTTCGTCTACACCAACAAAATTCACAATTTAGATTCACAAACAAAAATGACAAAACATAATCACATGCATATATTCTTCAAACATGAACAAGCATTATTGTACATTAAACAAACCTATAGTACACATATATGTTACTACATGTGACTATAGTTTTCTACAATTATTTATGGTTATATTTATATGTAGTGACATAAAGTCTAGACTACTGTAGCATGAATCCAACTTCACAAGGCACTTCACCGCATCTTATTCTCTTCATCTCATAAAATTATAATACAAGCAAAACCTGCGACAAAAAAATACGAGTTAAAGAGAAAAATAAAAAAATGCGAGTTAGATTACATAAAAAAATACAAAAAAAAAAAAAACATGATTTTTTTTTATAAACTTACTGATCTGAAATCGACTACAAATGACTATCGTATACTATAAGGTCCATAGTCATGTATAGTTATATGTAGCCATGACTATATATGACTATATAAGTATACTATAAGGTCCATATATAGTCATGTATAGTGATATGTAGTCATGACTATACATGACTACATAGTCATGTATAGTGATATGTAGTCATGACTATACATGACTACATGTAATGACTACATATGACTATATATGACTACATATAACTTTATATTCAACTAGCCGAAATAACACAAACATGACATTCATATCAGAATCATAAGCCCATTCAATAATTAAAAAAAAAATAGAAAATCAGGAACTTTACCAAGGTCATACAAAAAAGAAACATAAATCCATAGAAACATAAATTTCGACGAAAACAAATTTGAAAACAATTTTATAAATAATGACCTGCCTAATATTCTTGAAAAAAAGTCCCAAAGATGACTGGAACTAGCCAAAATAACATTAACATAACATCCATAGCAGAATCATACGCCCATTCAATAATAATAATAATAATAATAAAAAAAAAAAAAAAACAGAAAATCAGGAATTTTCACAAAAACCATCCCGAAAAGAAACATAAATCCATAGAAACATAAATTTCAACGAAAACTAAATTGAAAAAAATGAATTACCTTTAGATATGATAACGCCGCGCTGCCTTGCATTGAAGTTGTCACCAACTATCGCCGGCGCTTTACGCCGTCACACCTAACCCGTCACCACCCGGCATCCGCGGCGCTTCTTCTTCCTCTTCTTTGTCGGCGCCAGATCTGGATAGAGTTTTAGAGAGAGGGAGAGATGAAGAGTTAGAGAGAAATAGATGAAGAGAGAATAAGAACTGAACGGTTGAAACGTTGGTTAGGGCAAATTGAAAGTACGTGTTACTATAAGTGACTATATATGACTACATGTATCTGACTACACATGAGTATATATGACTACAATTATATGATCACACGTGACTATATATGACTACATGTATATGACCACATGTGGATTATATATGACCAGTGTGACTATATATGACTTGATAACGCAAATCTCTCCAACACTAGAACAAGTATAGCTAAGTTCCGACCAGGAAAAAATTCTGTAATTGCATTAACCGTGCTCTTATTGGAAAAAAAACCAATCATAAATCAAAAATCGTGAGAAACATGATAAAAAAAGTTATTTAAACGAAACGAGAATTCACACGAGCCTATGACAAAAAACTATTAAACCTTTCCATAAAACGAAATGCAAGAAGAAGGGTTGCATAAGCTTCTATAACACGGATTCTTCATCATCCTGCACAACAAAAATTCATATCTCACATACACTGTGTATAACATATAAATTTGAAAACACTGTCTCACCGAGCACAAATATTTTCCGTCGGCTCGATTAGCCAGAAAGATAGAACACAAAAGAGAAATCACATACACTTGATCCTCCAATTTCAAACAATCGATTCAAAAAAAATTATGGATATTTTTTTTTTAATTTATGTTATATCAAATGACATGAACTTTATCATATGACCCAAAAAAATGCAAAAAATATTCTTAAAATTAAATAAACGCTACAATAACTGATAATTTATGCATCATAAAATTAATCTAAGCACTTCTAAACAATTATATTGCTACATTAAGCAAAGTGGAAACAATATAGTTTTTTAAATGGAGTCAATTACTTACCGTCAAATTCACTAGCAAATTGTATTATAATATTGTGCAGCAAAGAAGAAATTAAAGATGAAGAAGCAGTGCGTCGCCGTAGCTCATGTATATGTTGCGCCTTTTCTTCCTCTTCTTCGTCGGCGCCAGATCTGGCGAGAAATAGTTTAATGAGAGTAGATCTGGCAAAGAGGGGAGTGGTGATGGACGACGATGTCGCCGAAAGGGAGAGCGGCATAAGGCAGACGAAAAGAGGCGCTAGCTAAAGGGGGAACGACGGTGGTCGGCGGTGGGCGGCGGCGGGCGGCGGTGGAGTGGCGGTGGGCGGCAAAGGGGCTGTGGTAAGAGAGATTGAAGAAAACGAGAGTTGAAAGAGAGAAAAAAGAAACGCTGGTTAAATTGTGAGGTTAGGGCACTCATTAAATTGAAACTAAAAGGGTAAAACAGGTAATTCAAATTGTCCAGGGGGGTCTAACAAATTAAGATCAAAATTTGGGTTTTTGCCTAGGAAAGAAAAAACTATTAGACTTACACATATATATTTCCAAAACTAGGGGGTTATCTCTCATTTCCCCTATTATATAAGTATTGCCATTGTATGTATATATATGATGGCATCACCAGCAATAATGATACAAACAAAAGCATTGATTTCTAAACAATAATTAAACAAAAAAAAAGTTATGTAACTAGGATGTTTGTGATACTTTCCCGCCCCCGGCCCACGGTAAATTAGCGCACATGCATACTGCAGCTTTCTTTTTTTCTTTTTCTTTTTCTTTTTTAACTTCAAATTGCAATTTTTTTTTCATTTGATTGTTAATTTTTTGCATTTGCTTGTTTTTTATTTATTTCCTTTTCAATTTTGCTGGTATCGTTTGCAATAAGACTATGCACATTTTATTTTCAGTTTGTTGTTTGTAATAAAGTGAAACATATTCCAATCAGTTTGTCGATTACATTTAACAAAGTCATATGTAGTTTGTTATTTCTGAAATTGAAGGATGCAGATTTTGTTTCGAGTTGACTATTTGCATTGATGGAGTCATAGGCAGCAATGACGTGGGGTCACGGATGCATCAATGATTGTTTTTTGAGGGTTGAATTTTTTGAAACACGTGATTTGTCAGTTTTAATCCCACTTTGCACTATTGAAATGAAGCATTTTGGCACTTTGTGTTGGAATAAACTTGAATAAATCCCATGGAACCGTCATGCCGAATCATCAAGAATATTGTGCATAAATATAAATTGGAAGCGTACCTTACTCCGGTGGAACTGATATGAAACGATCATGGATCTTCCAGATCATCATGTACATCCGAACCCGAGAACCCTTTAGACTTCTCTTCGTTTTCTTTATGTCGATGGAATACATAGAGAATGGAATTCGTACATGTGACCCGGGGACCATGACCAATATATATAGATAACCTAATGGGCTATCTTGTGTAATTTTATTTTAGCCCATCACTATAATAAAATTACCCTAATGTCTCTACACATTAAAGGCCCACACCCTATTAGACACATTAAAGCCCAATCTAGAAAAACTTTAGTCGATCACTTTAACGGGCTTAATCTTACGTGACAGTCTTGCAACACATAATATTTCACATATAAGTCCAACGTTGGATTAATGATCCAACAATCTCCCACTTGGACTATATGTGTAACTTTATAATTATAGGTTGCATAAATAAATTTTGAGCTCACTTTTGCTGTCATTACTGAAGTGTGTCTATAACCAATCTCGTCCATCAATCATGCTAACACTGAATCAAAGGGGCCTTCGTTCACATTAGTCGTAACGGGACCCAACAATGGTCACAATATCAACAGAATTGAATGACATAGATTATGATGTGGATGTGTAGCATGGAAATGTCATGCAATGTGACCTTAACATACCTATTTCCAATTGGTCCTCCTTAACGAGATCAAACCTTAACAATCAGAGTGTGAATAAACCAAAACCTTATTTCTGCAGAAATTATCCTAAGAGTATCCTTAATCCGAAATTAACCCAAAAAATTGTGTCTACGCCAAAAGAACACATTTATTATAAACTCCCACTAAAACCGAATATCCTTAATTAATATGACACCCATACGAGCAATATGCTCATGAGACCTTTTGGGTGACATCCTTAGTGTGCACACATAATGGAGTTTATATCGACGTATTTTATAGACACCTATCCACTCTGTATATTACAAAATAAGATGCTTTTATAAACTGATTACCGTAGTTAAAAGAGTTTTGGGTGTTGGCTAAACACTCTTACTTAAATTCTCTTTTAAATAGGTATACATTAAATGGATCTATAATGTACAAGCATCATACAAACTCGAAATCAAAAAACCAAATGATCTCCCAAATGAACTGATTTCGATAAATGAGCATAAATGACCTTATGTTCTCTATAATTACTGTATAATCCTTTTGTTTCTATTCAAAGATCCACTTCAAAGGATTATTTATATACCTGCCTAACTTTATGTACGATTTAGCCGAATGCGTACATACCGAAGTGTGCATATAATTTCCCAAAGCTGACAGCAAGGGAACCTTTTGCATTCTTCTTTACCGTAAGATCTTTATTGGGCATTGAATGAGATGTGCAGGATTATCTCCCACGTATCACATGGTATATACAAACATTAACTTTATTTACCTCACAAATACGAGATAATCATTATGAGTTGTACACCTTTTAGGGAATCCTAAAACTCTAAAATAGAGTCCGTATTGAGTGAAACTCTAGGTGATTAGACTTTGTTTATAACTTTTTCAACATTGCCTATTGAAATTCAAACGGTCTCAAATATACATTTGTGACCAAATGATTTCACACTTTTGACAATTGATAAGATCCCAAATGTCATTATCATATTAAGTTTAACTCAATTTAATATTGTATTCTCTTAAGGTTGTTGAGTTTATCTTTAAGGAGCAATTTCCTTCATGTGGGAGAAGACGGTATTTTTATTATTGTCTATAGCAACAAAATGAGAAAAATAAATTCTCTCTTTCATACAATAATGAGTATAACCCTTTCCCCCCTTAAACTCAATATCCTTAAGAGATCTTATACATCCCGTCTTTAAAATCATATGTTGCAGTCTTTAGTGCTTCTCTTAAGATTAGAAGCAAAACCTTACTTGTCATTTGACATACTTTGGAGACTCATATCTTTAAATAACAGATAAAACGAACATGATTCTGTTACTTTTGGAAAATCTATTATGATGTCTCTACTGCAACAATGTGTCATTCTATGGGATAGTAGCTAACTGAGTACTTTTAGTCTTTTCTCACTTATGTCATTTTATTCCTACACATAGTCAAACATGAGCTGACAAAGAATTCAGTTATCCTTTAGGTTTTGAAACAAACCTTATGTTGACTATAGATGTAGAAAGAAAAATCAAACCATATGCACTTTAAAGTTAATAAATCGTAACTTTAGTGCTTAAGCCGAAAGTGAGATTAGACTAATACTGAATGTACTCCTTTATATTTCTTTTCTTTCATTAATAATGAAACAAGATTAGTCAAAAACTATACTTGATTCAAACTTGTCATTTTAATAATAAAACGTATCAAAAGTGCCTTAAGAAATATTCTAGTACTTGCCCTATCAATCTTGATGCCCCGAAAGATTTCTTAAATAGTGCACCAAATGATCTTAATACTTATAATTAGAACGATCATATTCTTTAAGTCCCTTTTACCTTAACCTTAAGGAAACTTTTAATTCCGAAAAAACTAGTTGTTCGTTCTATTTAAAAGATAAAATGAAGATATGTGCACCCTAAATAATAAGTAAATTGTGCTATAAAGCACAAGAACCAAAATTAACATTGATAGATAATACAGAAGCGGAAGCATGAATTAAATAGAGAACATATACAAGAACACATGCTCACAACTACTATTATGTCATAGAAATATCAAATAGAATCTATGTATGTATGACATAATTAAACGGAATCGGGTTCATTTATCATAAAATACCTAGCCCAATGTTAACATGACGTTATGGACTACTCGTTAACTTTTAAGCGGCAACTTTTTATAAATAAATATTGACGGTAAACTATCGTGTCAAACAATAAATCTACCTTAGGGCCAATTTACAGTTCACATGAAATTCTAATAACCGTCACATATTTATTATATATCAACCACAAATTCAAATAAAGGTATATTCCATCTCAAGATATCGGGCACTCCATTAATAACTTATCTTTGGACAATGATATTAACTTGTAAGTGATATCTTGGTGTAGTAATCAAACACTGACAATAAGAGCACATCAAATAATAATTCTACCTTAGGGCCAAACTATTATTCACATGCAAAACGCCAAATAATCGCCACGCGTTTACCACCACAATATGCACATGCAATTCAGCAAAGTATTGGCCTTCCTTAGGGCCAACACAATACCCACATTATTACATGCACAAAACCTTTTGTATTTTAAAATAAATTAAGTTTCACAGGAGAGCTCACTTAGGCGAGATGCTGCTTCTCTTAATTCATATCAAAATACATAAACCAAACCAATATTTGAATTTTAACTGAATTTAAGCCTTTAGACTTTCTCAAACAATCTTTAGTCAGAGGCCTAATTAAATTACCTTATGAACCCAAATCCCACGTTATTTAGATTTAAAGTCAAAATAAAGTCGACTAGAAATCTTCACTTTATAACCCAAAGATGAACCTAAACCATAAATCGTAAAATTCATATTTATTTGAATTTGAGCTTAAAGTAAAATGAGCTCACAAATTCAACCTTATTAGATTTAAGGCCAACAATAAATTTCTGACAAATAAATCTAAATTCTTATGAATTTTCACAAAACAATGAAGACCCAAATTTATAATAAAGTCACGAGTCTACGAGTCAAATATCGATTGGGTCAAAGCTTATTGAGTTATACATGATAACTCATACATATATTGACAAACAAACGAAACTTCAATGAGTCAAAACCAATTGAATTATAATAATTCATATCCATAATTTGACTAATTAATCCAAAAAGACTCGAACTTTAGAAATCTGAAATGCCTCAGGAAACTAAAATTGAAATTCAAACTGAATCTCACTTTATTGACCAAACAAGTTCTTAAAGAGAATTAAAAAATAATTCACTTATTCGTTTGATTCTTCATAAAACATAAATTTCAAGTGGCCCCAAAACCTTTTGTAAAACTTAAAATCAATTTTTCATTCCTTAAAAAAATTGCATTTGCCCCAAATTCAGAAAATCCAAAAAAAAAAAAACTTGAAGGACTGAATAGAAATTTTGAAAGAAAAGCCTTTGAGTGAAAAGGGACCTAAGATTCAGAAATACTTAATTTTGGGGGTTAAACTGTATTTTCTGAATGTATATCACTGTTTTGAGAGAGACTTGAAAAACGGGGACTGAAATGCAGTTTTCGAAAGCTTGAGGCTGTAAAAAAGGATTTTTCTTTATTTCAAATCGACCCCGGCTCAAAATCAGGAATAACCAAAATATGGGCCAAATTGAAATAATGCTAAATATCTCAAACTTAAATTAGGGGACCAAATTTGAAATTTTGAAATTACAGAAACCCTAAATCTGGGGTTAAATTGTAATTTCGCAAAACATTAGTCAAAAAATCAAAACCTTAATGTCCTTATTCAACCTAATCAGCCGCCACCACGACCTTTCTTAATGTCAGCCGCCACCACCACCTGTTACCGTCGACCTTTGAGGAGGAAAGATACGCGCGGCCGTTTCCCGGATTTCTCCGCCATACCGCTGACCTTCTTCCTTCCTTCCCCCCTTTTTTTTTTTTTTTTTTTTTTTTGTTGAATGGTGGAGTAGTGAAGGCTGACCGACCGCCAAACTTAATCCACCCAAAATAGAATTTCAGATTTGTTGATTAACCTTAAACCTTCATATGAATTAATTGAATCGAGGAACCTTATTTCAATTCATCCCAACTGATTGAACCTAATCAGTAAATCATTGGGAATTCACAAATTTTCCAGATTTCAATTTTACAATTAAACCTTAATTTTCTCTAAACAGGTTAAATCGAGATTCTTAAGCCAATCCGAAATTAATCAATTAAATTTCAGACTCTCGATCCAAATTTTAGAATTAAGCAAATCTAAAATATAAATAATTGGATAACCACGAACTTCAATTAAGCATGAAAACATATATCATACAACATACCTTAATCACATATTTACAGGAAACATTACTAACCATAAAAACCAAATCCAGAAAATAGGTTTCATGATAACATCCGTGAAAATCAATTTCATGACACAGAGAATCAATCAAAATAAATAAGAAAAAATCTAGATGATTCGAACATGGTCGGCTCTGATACCACTTGTTGGAATAAACTTGAATAAATCCCATGGAACCGTCATGCCGAATCATCAAGAATATTGTGCATAAATATAAATTGGAAGCGTACCTTACTCCGGTGGAACTGATATGAAACGATCATGGATCTTCCAGATCATCATGTACATCCGAACCCGAGAACCCTTTAGACTTCTCTTCGTTTTCTTTATGTCGATGGAATACATAGAGAATGGAATTCCTACATGTGACCCGGGGACCATGACCAATATATATAGATAACCTAATGGGCTATCTTGTGTAATTTTATTTTAGCCCATCACTATAATAAAATTACCCTAATGTCTCTACACATTAAAGGCCCACACCCTATTAGACACATTAAAGCCCAATCTAGAAAAACTTTAGTCGATCACTTTAACGGGCTTAATCTTACGTGACAGTCTTGCAACACATAATATTTCACATATAAGTCCAACGTTGGATTAATGATCCAACACTTTGCACTCTTTAAAAACAGTAATAGCACTTTGTACCATCAAAATGCAATAAATCATTCATCATGCACCCTAGAGGTGTGCACGGTTCGCTACGGCTCGGTTTTTGCAATAAACCAAATACGTATCGATAATCTCGGTTTTTCATATTTTAAGAACTGAACATGTTGGTTTCGGTTCGGTGTTGATTGGTTTTTCGGTTTTCGGTTCACAGTTTCGGTATCAATTCGGTTTATTTTCGATTTCGATTTCATCTATCGTTCGAATCGGTTCGGCATAAAACCGATATTTGATTAACAATGAATTTGGTCTTTCATTACATTTGTTTGAGAAAATTAACAAATGACAAGCCAAAATTAACTAATAAACAACATGTAACAACCCAAAATTAACTAATAAAAAACATGTCACATTGAGGCGTTCGAAGGATAGAGGCACACTAGGGGAAGATGGTAAATATTTATACTATATATCAAAATGACGTCACTTTGTAAAAATCGGTTCGGTAATTTTTTTATTCTCCATACACAAACCGATATTTTCGGTTTTTCAAAAAAAATTCACCGTGTATGTGGTTTTAAGTCGGGACGGTGTATATCGGCTCGATTTTTTCGGTTTTTGGTTCGGTTTCTCGATTTTCTTGCTCACCCTAATGCACCCTTAATTGAACAATAAATGATAATTAATTTTTTATGTGGTTTTAAGTCGGGACGGTGTATATCGGCTCGATTTTTTCGGTTTTTGGTTCGGTTTCTCGATTATCTTGCTCACCCTAATGCACCCTTAATTGAACAATAAATAATAAATTAAATTGTTATTTCCTTCAACCTGCAGCCTAATTTCGAGCGCACAAAGTGGGAAAGAAATAAAAACCACACCGGATAATTGAAAAGAAAAATATATTTTCTTATAAGAGAAAATGAAATAAACTTTTATCACTAAATTATTCGATTGATAGATCATTTATTGTAATTGGTGTAAATATTTGGAAGAAAGTATTATTTTCACATAACTTGATAACGAAATAGTTGAAAGATTTTTTTCGGTAAAATAGATTTTTATAAAAATATAATTTTTAAATACCACTAAAATTATTAAGTTACCTTTATTAGCTTTAAAAACTCAGGTGGAGTACATTATGCGTGATATATTGTTTTTCGAGGATGTAAAGTGTCAAAATAATATAATTTAAGGGTACAAAGTGGAATTAAGCCGACTTGTTACGAACTGATTTTGTTTTTTGTTAAAAATTGGAAAAAAAAATAGGTTTGATGAAATTCGATTCGTTAGAGAGATTTTATATGGTTTAATTTGATTTCATTAAAAGTATTTTCGTCACAAATTATACAATGAACTTATATAAAAATAGCACTTGTGACCTGACATAATCATATAATAAAAAAATCTAGGGGTCCATTGCAATTTGCCCATAAAATCATAAAATCTAAAGGAAAAATGGGAATGCGTGTTGGTAGGTAGATTGGTAGGGGAAGGATTAGGGATGGCAGCGGAGTGGGTATCCTCGAAAAAGTGCAATATCAGAACCATTACTATTTAATATAACTCAAACTATGATCATACCAAACTCATTTAAAAAGTTCATGGAAAAACCAGAACCATTATCGCGAATATCCGAGTACCCACGGGTACCCATTTACCATTTAAATTACGGTAATAAAAAATTACTTTGGGTCCGATAACGTATAAGTAACTCTCAGAAAAAAGAAAGAAAAAAAGAAAAGAGAAAAAAATATATCCTCCCTAAATTATTTAATACTTTATTTAAAATTTTGCCAAAATATCTTTTTTATTCATATTTTGTTGAATATATATATATATATATATATATATATATATATTGTTAGAATCCGAGAGGATTCTATTTCGGTTTTTCAGCACGAATGCGAAAAACGTGTATAAAAACTAGGGAAGTTTCCTTAGTTCTTTAAACTCTTATTTTGTCATTAATTTATTTAATTGCCTAAGTGTTTTGTTAACAAGGAATTTCTTTGAATAAGACTTTCCTTGTTTACATAACTCTTTTTTCCTTACGTAAGATTATATCTAACCTAATGGGCTCTATTTTTTGTGTAGGGCTCTACTAATTCAACTAAGGAACTATAAGAAAGCAGCATCAACGTCGTTATACACTGTCCCTTTTATTTTGAGAGAAAAACTTTTTCTGCTCTTGTGTTGCTGCTCCTGAGTTGTGATCTTATTCGAGAAGAAAAACACAGCAAACGATTTGCTTCTTTCACGCGAAAAGAAGATCGGTTCTTCGGGAGAAGAACTCAGAAGATCTCGGGAGGAGGTCGATCCGCCGACTGAGGGACTCAGCGTTGAAGAAATTTCAACCGTGCGGAAAGGGACGTGCTGCAAAGTGAAGATTGACAATTCAGCGTAGGATACAAGAACGGCGTCGACAAAGAGGGAGTCTTTGCATTTTCGATTAAGTCCTATTACTGTATTCGTAAAACTAAAAATTAGTGAATTTCATTTGCAGGTCCCCGTGGATGTAGGGTACAATTGTATCCGAACCACTTTAAAATTTGTGTCTTTTTATTACTGTTCCATTAACTGTTGCAACTCTTCGTAAAACAGTAGAACAGTAGCTAAAACTGAATCTGGGATTTATCGGACACAAATTTATAATTAATTTGCACAAAATAATTCTAACAATTGGCATCAAGAGCCTGTCACTAAATATATCTAGTGAGATTTTGGGAACTGATTACTCTTATTTTGTGCAGATATGAATACTCAACGAGAAGGATCTTCAACTACTCGTCCACCTCTTCTAATCGGCTCCAACTACTCATACTGGAAATAAAAAATGAAGATGTTTATCAAATCCATAGATGAGAGAGCATGGCGCGCCATCATAACTGGTTGGACACCTCCCATGGTCAAAGGAGAAGACAAAATGGAAGCTTTCAAACCAGAAGCAGATTGGAGTGATGGAGAAATACTACTCGCAAACTACAACTCAAGGGCCCTAAACGCAATATTTAGTGGTGTTGATGATAATCAATTTAAACTAATAGCGTCATGTGAATCTGCAAAGAGAGCTTGGGAAATCCTTCAAGTCACATACGAAAGAACGTCAACTGTGAGGACGTCGAAAGTACAGATGTTGGCC